ACAAATATCTTAATTTTTTTTTTTCGTTTATTCCCTGGTAAATTATACAACTTACAAAATTTTTACTAAAAATTATATTTTTATAAAAATAAATTTTAATACATATATATATATATATATATATATATATATATATATATATATATATATATATATATATATATATATATAGAAATCGTTACTTTTTTTATATTTTTGTAAAATACATTCACAAAAAAGATAAATAAGAAAAAAGAAATTACATGTAACTTAAAATTCAATTAAAATTTATGTAAAATATATAATAGCAAATTAAATTAAAAATAATGTAAAAATATTTTAATAAGATATTACTAACACAAAATTTTCTATAGAATATTTAGGAAACTGTAACAGTTTTTGCTAGACACCTTGGCTTATCGGGGTTGATTCCTTTGCTCACACTTATATAATAGGCTAACATTTGCAGTGGTATTACGGCAAGTAAAGGTGTTAATAATCCATTATTTGGAATTAATATAATATCATCGGCAAAATGCTTAACAAGATTTTCATCATCTGTTAAACAAATAATATGAGCACCTCTCGATTTTATTTGTTCTCCTGTATTTATCATAACATTTTTTGTGCTATCATTAAACACAAGCATAATTACAGGTATATTATCATCACCACCCAACAAAGCATAAGGACCATGTTTTAGAGAACTTCCAGTGAATCCTTCACAATGTATATAGGTCAATTCTTTAATTTTTAATGCACCTTCTAAGGCTATAGGGTAACTTAAACCGTTTCCAATAATTAGCATAGATTTATAATTGGAAAGTTTATGTGATAATAATTTACATAAACTTTCACAAGATTTTATTGTCATATCAGCATATAAAGGTAATCTATGTAAAGAATAAATCAAGGAACTAATTTTATTACTTGTAGAATAATTTTTTTTATTTTGAAAAAACCACAATGCTATTAATATTAATACCGAAACTTGAGATGTGAAGCATTTAGTTGATGCGACAGCAACTTCTCTACCTGCATTTAAATAAACACCACAACCTGTCATATTTGCTATAGTAGATCCTACAGAATTAACAACTGACATTTTTTTTAAATTAAGATCATGTGCCAATTTACAAGCCTTAATTACATCCCTTGTTTCTCCACTCTGAGAAACAAAGATAACTCCTTCTTTTTCTTTTGGTATTACAGATATATTAAAATCAACAGGGTCCATAACTTGAACAGTATTAAAACAATTTAAATAATTCATAATGTATTTTCCATATAATGCAGCATAGTACGATGTTCCACAACCTATTAAAATTAAATTATCTATTTTAGATAAATCTTCACTATAAGGATCTAAACCACCTAACTTTACGCAATTATTGGCAATACTAAATCTACCTCCATTATTTAATGATTTTGATAGAGACTGTGATTGTTCATGTATTTCTTTAATAGTCCAATGTGGAAATGGGTGTGGAGTTTTTTGAATTGCAATTTCAGGTATGCTTTCTAATTTCTTTAATATTTTTAAATCATTTATTTTTTCTTTATTTACAACTAAAATTTCTCCATTTTTTAATGATATGTATTCATTGGTAAACATAAATAGTGCAGAGTGTTCTGATGCGATAAAAATTTCATTTTCTTTAAATCCAATGTGTAAAGGAGATCCATTTGCTGCTAAAATTATTTGATCAGGATAATTTTTATGTATTATACAAAAGCTCCATGTACCTTCTAATTGTCTAATTGCTGATAATACAGCATCTTCAAATTTTTCATTTTTATCTAAGAAATATCCTATTAAATTAGCCACTACCTCTGTATCTGTATTTGATTTAAATGGAATATTATTCTTTAATAAGAATGTTTTCAGTTCCCTATAATTTTCAATTATTCCATTGTGTACAAGGCTGATTCGTTCACCATAATCTGTGTGTGGATGGGCATTTTCATCTGTTTTACTTCCATGAGTTGCCCATCTTGTGTGTGCAATTCCTATATTGTCATTTACATGATTAGTCATATAGTTACATTTTAATTTATCAATAGCATCAGATGTAGAAGTGCTGGAAAATTTTGTTGTTTTTAAAACATTATTACTACTTATTGTTGACATACCACATGAATCATATCCTCTATTTTGCAATATTTCTATTCCTTCAATTAAAATCTTCGATGCATCTCTGTTCCCTAAGTATCCCATAATACCACAACAATCAGCTGGTTTATTAGAAAAATTAAAAAAATTTCTGTATTTTTTTTTCTTTTTTTTCTTTTCTTCATTGGCAAGGATTTCGTACAGAGCAAAAAAAATTATCAACATAAAAAAATTTTTTTCATTTAAAATTCCATATTTCTTTATTAAACTTTGTAGTACATTTTTTTCGCATACATTACCTATTTTTATAGTGTTATCTCCTATTACATTGAATTTTTCATTTTCTTTTTTATTATTACAGTGTTTTTTACTTGAAAAAAGGTAATTTACTGACCAAATATTTTTTTTTATATTATTTTTTTCATTAATAGATAAACTTCTTTTAATTTGTGTGAAATACAATTTTGTCTTATCAAAGACAAAATCATTTTCAATTTTATTTCTTAATTTATTCAGTAGTATTTTCAATTTTATATTCATTGCGTATCTTTTCTTTTTATTTATTTTATTTTATATTATTTTTATTTTTTTATTTTTTTTTTTTTAACAGACAAATCTTTTTTTATTCTAAATGCTATGTTCACTTTTAATATTTATTTTTTTAATTTATATTAAAAAATCATGTGAAGAAAATATAAATCATTATTATAATTTTTTATAAAATTTCAGTTATATGCTAATTAATAAATCAAAATTAACAAAAATTCAAATTAATGAGTTATTAATATTTTATATAAAATAATTATAAATTTTTATTTAAATTAAAATTAATTTTATTTAGTACAATAACCAATATTTAAATTTTAATTTTTTCTTTGCTATTCTTTCCTTTTATTTAATATTAATTTTTATTACTCTTCTATAACTTTTTTTTATTTTTTTTATTTTTACACATGGTAATCAATGCACATATATTAATTTATTTTTTGTTTCTCTCTTTTGCGGAAATGCACTTGGAAGGAAGTTGAAACAATAACATTAGTTTTTATCTCTTTCTTATTTTTAAGTTGTATAAATGGATATATATATCTATTACATTTTTTTAATATTTATATACATTTATTTTTGTATTTCTCTAAAATAAATATTTCCTTACAAAAAATATGATAACACAAATAATTTAAATTTTAATTATAAATAATAATATATAAGTTTAGAACTTTTAAATAACTATTTTACAAATATATAAAAATATATACGCTTTTAAGAATAGTTAAATAGGTTTCTTAAATATCACAATTTATAAATCTGCAAAAATTCATAATAAAAAGCAGAATTCGTAATATAATACTTTTTTCATGTAATATGTTCTTTTCACTTTATCCCTTTTAATATATAGAAAAATACTAAGTTTTCTTAGATCAAAATTTTATCACATTTTAATGATATCTTAAAACTAGTATATTTATAATTATTACTGTATTAAATATACTTCTTTTAATATAATTATAATTATTATTTATTAATTTTCAAATTTTCAATTATTTTATTTTTAATTTATCGTTGTTCATTTCATATAATTTCCTTACTTTTTACAAACTTTGATTATTTCTTTCTAAAAATTATTATAAATATATAAAATATAATAAAAAATTATGAAATTTTATGTGTATATGTATTATATACCTAAAATTATTTGAATTATTTTTTTTTTTGATTCTTTAAGTTATTTTTTCCACTCAAAATATTTTATAGAAAATAGTTATTATTTATAGTAATGACAAAACAGTATAATTTCTTTTTTTTAAATCTTATTCTAATACAATAAAATATTTTTTTGCTTTAAATCTTATATCTTTTTTTTTTTTTAAATATTTATGTTTAAAGTAACATTTTTAATTTATTATTCTCTATACATATTTTTATCTTAATATTTTTTTTTTTAATCAGAAATTTTAAAAATTTTGAACATAAAATATATATGGAAAGGTATGATACCGAAAAATTAATGATAAAAAAAAAAAGAAATTTTTAAACTTGAAAATCCACAAAAAAAAAATTTGGGATACAAATTTTAGAAAATGAAGTATACATATTTTAAATGTGTAACTTCAAAAATTAATAAAAATTATTTTTTTATTTCTTTTTTTTTTTTTTTTTAAAGTTATCAAAATTATTATTATAAAAATAGTAATTAGTATTTTAATAATTTTGAATAAACTCTCGTTTAAAAAAGTAACAATATTTTTAAAAATGTTTTAATGTATTTTTGGCTTCTATGTAGTATATTTTTAATTATTTTTACTTCTATCATTATCATATGTTAAAACTTTTATTTAAATAGTTTTTTGTATGATTTTTTTAAGAAAGCGTTGTTTCTATAATTATTATATGTTTCTTGTTATTAAATATGTTTATGCTAGTTATTTATATATTTTATTATATTAACTTTGTTATTATTTTTATAAATAATTATACATATATATATATATATATTAAAAAGAAAAATTATAAAATATTTTATATATATATATATATAATTCAATTTTACGTCTTTTTTTTTTTTTTTTTTTTTTTCTTTTTAATATTTTCATTTAATATTTTAAATAATAATTAATGCAAAAATATTGTTTTTCCTTTAAAAAAATGTTTTCATTGTTATGCACACATTATATTATATGATTTATTTATCTTTATTTTTTGTTTTTTTTTTGTTTTTTTTCTTTTTTTCCTTTTTTACAACTATCATTTCCTAATTTATATTACTCTTTTTTTTTTTTCTTTTATTTTGCTTAAATCAAATGCACACACACGTGCATATGCACTCATAAAATTAATACTAATTTTTATTTTTTTTTATTTTTGATATATATATATTTTTTTCATTTATTATTTAAATTTAGTATATTATATAATTTATAAAATATTTTGAGTGTATTTTTTTTCATAGATTCCCATATAAAAAATAAAAAAAAAAAAAAAACATAAAAAATTATAGAAAAAAAAAAAAAAAAGTAAAAAACTTATTGCACGTTGTAAAAAATTGTAAGGTTCTACATTACGTGTTCATTAAAATTATTTCATTTAAAAATATATATTTTTATTTTTAATTATTATTCTTGAATTAATACTACTTAATACATTTATTATTAAAATATTGATTTTATATTTTAATATAATTAGATAATGTAGAATTTAAATGGAAGAAAAGAAAAAGAAATTCTTTTGAATTATATAAATGAATATTATGTATACATAGTATATATATATATATTTTTTTTTTTTTTTTTTTTTTTTTTAATACTTGGTTATACTTTATCACTTATTTATTCAGTTTAATAGATTAGCATTAAATTTAATATGTTTTTCTGCTAATTTCTTTATATTTTTAATTTTTTTTTTTTTTTTTTTTATTTTTATAAATTAAAAAATTATAGTTGATTTTGTTAATTTTAAAATATTTTTTATATTTTATTTTATTTTATTTTTTTTTTGTACATCATAAAATTATATTTTTCAATTTCCTTGAATCTGTTAATTTTACATTATTACTAAAATAACTTTAATCTGAATTAATTTATAATAAAACTTAATGCACATAGAAAATTTAGAAAAAATATATATGCTTAAAGATGTGTAGAATTAATGATTAAAATTAGAAATGATACATAATACAATCAATTTTTTTTTATATAATTTAAATATTTACAAATGGGTTTTTAAGTAGAAATAATAATAGATATATATATATATGTCTATTTATTTTTTATATGTATATTTAATGAATATAAATAATATCAGATACATAATTATCTGTTTTTATTTTTTTTTTTTTTTTTCCTTTTTTCCCTTTTTTTTTTTAATAAATTAGACTTGCAAATATGACACAAAATCCTGTAAATTCAAATGTCTGTTAATGAATAAAATAACAACATATTTATATGCATGAATATTTATATTTTTTTATATTTTTTTATATTTTTTTTATATTATTTTTTTTTACAGATGCCTGAAACTCTTCCTAATACATTTAATGCTTTGTATGTATGAATAAACAACAAAAAAAAAAAAAAAAAATAAAAATAAAAATAAAATGAAATAATAATAATAACAATAAATATTAAATATAATTAATTTCAATTTCTCGATTATTATATATATATATATATATGTGTATAAATGAACATTTAATATAATGAAGTTTCTTTTTGTTTTGTATTCACATATAAAAATGTACAAATATTTCTAATGTATGTTTTTATAGATATTATAATTTCATAAAGTTCATATTTTTTAACATCTTCTAATTAGTTTATATCTAAAATAAAAAATGAATGTTTCTTTATATTATTATTATTATTATTATTATTTTTTTCTTTTTTATAGCCAGATATGTTTTATGATCATTCAGTGGAAGGTTTTATGAATAATCAAATGAATGAAATAAGTAATTCTTTTAATGATATAAGAAAAGTTCCTATAAATATAACAGAAAATGTATGGTCAAGCGAAAGAATTACATTATCTTCTGAAGAATATGTATATTATCTAAACTTGTTTAAGTAAAAAAAAAAAAAAAAAATAAATAAATTAACACTTAGAAGAGAAAAAAGCAAATTAATAATACATATATATATATATGTTATTTATAAAATTCTTTTTTTTTTTTTTTTTTTTTTTTTTTTTATCAGTTTAAATGATAAATTTGAAAATAATTTTATTGATAATAAGACAGCTTCTTCTTTTTTACAAAACTCCGGGCTTTCTATATCTATTCTACACTCTGTATTAAAAAAAAAAAAAAAGAATTTTTTTAAATAATTTTTTTAAATAATTTTTTTAAATAATTTTTTTAAATAATTTTTATTAAATAATTTTTAATTAATTTAAATAATATGTATATTTATTATTAATAGATATGGGAATTTAGTGATATTGAAAATAAAGGTTATCTAACTTTAGAGGATTTTTTTATATGTTGTAGACTAGTTGCACATGCTCAAAATGGGAATACCTTAAGTGCAGAAATTATAAATATACGTAAATAATTAAAAACTAAGTTTTTTAAAAAAAAAATTTTTTTTATTTTTTTTTTATAAAAATTATTATATATATTTGTTATTGTTTTTATATAGAACCACCATGTTTACCTAGTTTTGATATTATTAGACATAAATCATTTTCAGATATTTCTAATATGGAAGCTAACGTTGAATGGAGATTAAAAGAAAATGAAAGAGAAGATTTCAAAAGAATTTTTAAAACATTAGATATAAATAATGAAGAAAAAATAGAAGGATCAATTATTCGTGAGTATTATTTAAATACTTCTAATATATCTATTTGTGAATTAATGCAAATATGGAATATTTCTGATATTGATAACGATGGATCTTTGAATTTTGAAGAGTTTTGTATTATGAATAAAATTGTTGAAATCAGAAAAGAAAAAGAAATAAATATACCCTTAACAATTCCTGTTGAATTACTAGATTCTATAAAGATAAAAAAAGAACTAGATATTAATGGTAATTTTTATAAAAAAAATATATATATATATATATATATATATATATATATATATATATATATATATATATATATATATATTTATAAAATAACTTTTTTTATTATTCTTTTATTTTATTTTATTTTATTTTTTTTTTTTTTTAGATGATGTAACTTTTAGAAAATGCGAAGAAAATAATGAAAAAAGAGATCCATTTCATATATCTTTTGGTGATTTATTAAAAACAGAAAATGAAAAAAAAAATGAAGTAAATGATAAAGAAAAAATAAATATGGATTTTGACTTTTTTGATTTCAAACAAGATAAATTAGATAAAGAAACTCCTAATGAAAAAAAAAAAAAAAAAAAGGATACTTTTGAAGAAAATGAAAATACTTTTTTCAAAAAGGATTTTGAAGATTACAGTAAATTTGACGAGGAAGAAGAACCAGAAGATAAAAATCAAAAAGAAGATGAAGAGGAAGAGGAGGAGGAAGATAATGAATCAAATAAAAACTATTTATTAAAACAAGGCATAGAATTTATAAAAGACGAAAAGAATAAAAATGAAAAAAAAAAAAAAAAAAAAAAAAAGGATAAAGAAATAGAAAAGGAAAAGGAAAAAGAAAAGGAAAGAGAAAAAGAAAAAGAAAGAGAAAAAGAAAAAGAAAGAGAAAAAGAAAGGGAAAAAGAAAAAGAAAGAGAAAAAGAAAAAGAAAGAGAAAAAGAAAGGGAAAAAGAAAAAGAAAAAAAAAGAGAAAAGGAAAGAGAAAGGGAAAAGGAAAAAGAAAAAGAAAAAGAAAAAGAAAAAGAAAGAAAAAGGGAAAGAAAAAGAGAAAAACATAAAGGTAAAAACAAAAAAAAATTGGATATGTTAAGAGATGAAGAGGAAAGAGATTATATAAATGAGCTGAGAGATGTAGAAGAGAATGAAAAGAAACATTTTTCTAAAGAAGAAAAGTATTTTACTAAACTAATGGATTTTAACTATTGTGATTTAAAAAATTATAATATTGAAAGTAAGGATATTTACAAGATAGAAGAAATAAATAGACAATTAGAAGAAGAAATAAAAAAGAAAAAAATAGATATTGAAAAGAAAAAAAAACATGTAAATTGCCTTGCATATGTTTATGAGAGTGAATTGAAAAAATATCAATGTTTAAAAGAAGAAAGAAGAAATTTAGAATTTTTGAATTTATGTTTGTATAAAGATATAAAACATAAAAAAGAAAATATTAAAAATATTAAAAAGGAAATTAAAGAAATAATTGAAGATATAAATAAAATAAATATAGAAAATATAAGTTTAAATAAAAATTACGTAGAAAAAGAAAGGGAAATAAAAGCTACTGATAATAATAGAAAAAATTTGAATTCTATGATAGATAAAGAAAAAAATGATTTAAAAAAAGATGAAAGAAATTTAATAATTTTAAAAAATATGATTAGTTATTTGAAAAAACAAAAAAATCGTGCCTTAAAATTACAAGAAAATTTAAAAAATAGATATGATGTAACAAACTCTGATCACCAGATGCTAATCAAAAATATTCTACATAAACAAAATTATTTAAATAGCATAACTAATAAACGTCTTAATATACAAAAAATGAAAAATCAGAATATACTTTTATTTAATTCTTTAGCTAACCAATCTGTATTATTAGATATACAGAATAATTATCCACATTTAAAAACGAATTTAGAAAAGTCCTTTAGCACATTACCATTAAATAGTTCTACCTTTTTTAATTCAAACATTTATAAAAAATATTATACAGATAATAAAGGAATACCTAATAAACAAGTAAAAATATAAAAAAAAAAAAAAAAAAAAAATTACTTTTTTATTAACTGTTTTTTTATTAACTGTATTTTTATTAACTGTTTTTTTATTAACTGTTTTTTTATTAACTGTATTTTTATTAGCTGTTTTTTTATTAACTGTATTTTTATTAACTGTTTTTTTATTAACTGTTTTTTTATTAGCTGTTTTTTTATTAACTGTATTTTTATTAACTGTTTTTTTATTAACTGTTTTTTTATTAGCTGTTTTTTTATTAACTGTATTTTTATTAGCTGTTTTTTTATTAACTGTATTTTTATTAGCTGTTTTTTTATTAACTGTATTTTTATTAACTGTTTTTTTATTTTATTATTATTATTTTTTTTTTTTTGTTATTAGAATGATGAAATTAAAAACAATAAAAAGAATTTTTCATTATTTGAGCATATTAAGAATGGTGACAATGTTGATATTTTTTCAAGTTTAGAGGATATGGAATCTAATAAAGATGTATTCAAAGTAAAAGAATAATTTACTTGATATATATTTAAGAAATATATAAATAAATATTCACTATATATATAATATATATATACATATATATCTATTTATTTTATGATTTTTTTTTTTTTATTCTTTTTATATATAAATGTTCAGAATGAAAATAATTTTGAAGGCTTAAGTGATTTTATATCAAAAGAAAATAGCTTAAAAACTGTTGATAAATAATACAAAACAATTTAAAACGTTTTTTAGTTTAATATTTTTTAAGATTTTTTTTATAATTATTATTAATATTTATTCATTTATATTTTTTTTTTTTTTTTTTTGTAAATATTATAAAGATGTGTATATATATATATATATTTTTTTTTTTATTATTAGCAACATAAAAAACAATAGGTATTTGTTTTTGCACTTTGTTTTTAAAATAAAAAAATAAAATAACATCAATATTTCTAATGTAATATTTTTTTTTTTTTTTTGAATTTCAATTTTAAAAAATATTTTCTATTTTATATATTTTTTTTTTCGGTTAATTTTTTCTATTTACGTAGCATACAAAAAAAAAAAAAAAAAAAAAAAAAAAAAATGAATTTTTTAAATAAAACTTTTTTTATAAAAAAAATTCAATATTATTACAGCAGCTCTAAATTTGAAAATATTGTTCCTCTTTATGAAAGAAAAAGTAGAATAAAATTTAAAAAAGAAAAATTATTAAAAAAAATAAAAATACAGATTTTACATTTAGATAAAAATAAGAAAAATTCAACGAAGTATTTATCATCATACAATGAAAATTTATTAAGTCATGATGTGATCAATCAAAGTATTTCAGAAAAAATACATGATGGAAGCTCTTGTTCATTAGAAAAGGAAATAGATAATCTTAAAACTCTAATATCTAACAATGAAAATAACAATGATAAAAATGATTTAATAAAAAGAAAAATAGAAATCCTAAATGAAAAATCTTTAACATTTATACACCTTAAAAGGTTATACTTTCTTATTAACAATAAAGAAAATGAGCAGTTAATTGAAAATATCAACAATTCTAACTTTTTAAAAATTTGCATCTTTACAAATAAAAAAAATATAAGAAATCGTGTCATTGAAAAAGAATTTTTAAGAAGAGTAGATAAAACAGAATTAAAAGAAAATTCCTTTTTTAATGAAAAAAATTTTCCCTATATTTTAGAATATATTCATTATATTGGTCTTAGTAATATAAAAAATATTTATAATTCAAAGCTATATTGGAACTTTAACGAATTAAAAATTATATATAATAGATTATTAGATAATATCACAAAAAAAATAATCTTAAATAATGATCAAATTATCAATATAATATCCATAAATGACAAATATTTATATTTTAATAAATATTTATTTGATTATATTAATAGTACAATATCAATAAATTTTAATACATTGAATGAACATGAAATAACGTATATATGTAAATATTTAAGTAAAATGTTATTTTTTTTTTCTATTGAAAAAAATGATATAAAATATAATATGTATGTCCATCGGTTAATAAAAAGATATATATGTAAAAGTATTGTATTTTCAAATAAAGTAAAATTTCTAGAATCATGTAATGAAAAGGATACAACAAATATTTATGAAAAAAATGATAAAAAAAACTTACATATGAAAAAATTAAATGATTTAGAACAAACAGTTAAAAATAATTCTAACAACATAAATAATAATATAAATAAATTAAATGAAAAAAATGAAAAATTAAAATATGAAAATTTTAAAATGTATATTAAAAATAGTTCTTTTGTTAATATTCTCAATAAAGAATTAAAAAATTATTTACACGAATACAAGTATTACAACTTGATAGATATTTTCGAATTCTATACAATATTTGAAATAAACAATGAAAATATGATGAAGAGATTTATAAATGAAACAAGTAAATTCATTAATATCATGAAATATGGTTATCATTCAAAGGCTTTAATATTATTTAGTTTAAATAGAAATTATTTACAGATAGAAAATGAAAAATCCATTAGGAGGTTAATTAGAAGAATCCCTTATATGCTAAATTTTCATTGGCCTATAGAAATTATTATAGAAACTATTATTGCTTGTTCATTTTTTTCATGTAAAGAAAAAATATTTAAAAATTTAATTATTTATTTAAAAAATAATATTAAAAAATGTATTCATCCCATAATTTTAGTTAATTTATTAAAATCCTTTGTCTCCATAAATAAAATTAATTTTGTACTTTTTCAGCAAATATTAAGTTATTTAAAAAAAAATATAAAATTTATAAATATTAGCTACATAATACATATTTTAAAAAATATGTCTATCTTAAATTATAAGGATTTTGATTTTTTTTTTTTTTTTTTATCCTTTGAAAATGTATTTAATAGGATTTCCCATTTACCAAAACCAACACTGATTAATTTTTTCCATTTAATTTATCGATATAATCATTTTTTAGAAAAAAAAAAATCTATCTTTGTTAATAATATTTTTGTAAAATCAAATTTATCAATTTTTTATACTGAGTACATTTTATTTTTAATGTTGAGTAAAGAAGGAAATCTCTTGAAAATAAATTCTTCAATTTTAGGAAAAAATGAAAAAATTTTAAAAGAAGAAAAAGAAAAAAAAAAAATTGAAATGAAATATTTTTTACAAAATAATAATTCTTATGAACATGAACTTTTTCTCTCAAATAAAAACAATCATTTGGATGTTATTAATAATGAACCATATACAAAAAAAAGTAATAAAATTTCCCATATTGATGACAATGTGCTGAATATAGAATGGCATAAAAATGAAAAAGAGAGTTATACAAAAGAAATAAAAAAGTATAACATAGAGAAACCATTTAAAGATATAATAATAGAAAATGATAATAATAATAATAGTAATAATATATATAATGATGAAATGTATATTTCACATGTAGATTATAAACTATTTGAACTAGATGTTGACGATTTTATATATTTTTTAAAAGGTTTTATAAATTTGAAAATTACTAATTTAAATATTTTATATTATTCAATACATTTTCTCCATAAAAATTTATACTCATTTAATGAAAATCATATTATTATACTTTTGCAATTTTATTCTGAACATCTAATTGCTTTCCCTATATTGATGGATTCTCAAATACGCAAAGCTTACAGTTATTTACATATTATAGTAAAAAGTTCAATTATTAATTTACCTGATTATTTTTTACCTCATTGCATTTTTTCAGTTATATCTTTTTATTTTACTGAAATTGTATTGAAAAATAATATAAAGAACATTGACTTATTAGAAAATATCATGTCTATGTTTTGCAATAAACTAAGGGGTGGATTGGAAATATTAACTGAAGAAAATGAAGAAAAAAAAGTTAATTCAGAATTATTAAATATAATTTCTCAAATTTTGCAAATGTTATATGTAAAAGCGGAAAAAAGAATGCCTGATGATTTATATAATTTTTGCAAACATATAAAAGAATATTATTACAAAATAAACGAAAATATAAACAATGATAATAAAGATAAACAAAATTTCATTTCATTTTTTTCAAATTTACTAAAAAATAAAAAAATTAATCATTTTATAAAATATTCTTTTTATCCTTATACTCTTGATATTGTAATTGAAAATGAAGATTATGATAATACACAGAAAAAAAAAGCATTAATTGTAATAGATAAATTGGATAATATATATTTAAAAAATATTCATTTGACTGATTTTTTTTATAATTATTCAACAAAAAAAAACACCATTAATGAAAAAGTAGAAGATAATATACAAAAAGAAGAAAACTGTTTGATTCATGAAAATTACTTCAGTAATTCATTAAAACCATATGAATCAATAAGAGAATGGTTTCTTATTAACAATAATTTCTCTGTTTCATATATTTCAATAAATGATTGGAAAAACAAATATTCATACATTTAAGTACACTATGTATATCAATAATTTTATTTTTAAAAACCATAAAAAATATTAGATTTAAAACTTCTTGTTAATTTTTTTTTTTCTCTTTTATTTTTATAACAATAATTGTTTTTTTATTTAGAATATTTAAAAAAAAAATTTTTATGTAGCTTTTTTTTAATATCCCTTTTACATAAATTTTTTTATTGTATTTTCCTTGCATATATATATATATATATTTACAATTTTTTTTTCTGTCCAATTTTATACATTTTAAAATTATTTTCCAATTTTATGTTTTATTATATCTTGTCAAAAAAAAATTAATTTATAAAATATAAAATATCTTTTCATAATAACATTGAAAAATATCTTTTTTTTTGTTAATTTTTCTATAAAAAAAAAAGTTATTAATTATATAAAAATTAAAAAGTTTAATTCATGTTCTTTCTTAAAACAAAATATATTAAATTACTATTAAAAAAAAAAAAAAAAAAATTAGAAAACATATAAAATGTAATATTTTTATTTTTGTACATAGAAGATGGAACAGAAAATTTTATTTCATTTTATAGATTCTATTCCAATATATTTTTTTTTTTTTTATATCATTTTAAGTTATCAAAAAATTATATATCACACATGCACATCTACATATGCAAAAATAAACTTTTCATTTAATTTAAAAAAAAAAAAAAAAAAAAAAAAAAAAAAAAAACTACCGAAAAATTTATATTTTTGATTAAAAATAATGAAAATAATAATAATGAAATAAAATTATATCTTTTTTAAATTAATAAATATATAAGCAAAAATATAAATGGTTCTCACTAAATTAAAAAAGTATGTACATAAAAAATTCACAGAACCTTTTTACTATTTTATGGTCATTTAAAATAAATTACTCGGAATGAAATTAAAATATAAAAAATATAGTATACTTTTAAGATGTTTTTATTTCTTATATATATATATATATATATAAATATAAAAATATATATATATATATATTTTTATTATACAGTAATATACTTTTTTATAATTTATGCATTCAACCATGGTGCTGGGATACCTTGAACAACTGGGATATCTTCTTTATCTTTGAAAGCTAATACTATTCTATTATTACCTACTACTTTTTTTTTCATAAATTTTGCATATAATCTAATTCCGATACTAACAAATAATGCAATGCAAATAGTTATAAGACATATTATCATGAATATGAACACTTTACTTTTAAAACCATTTGTATTTTCTTTTTCAGCGCTTAATTTATTTAAATCATTCTTATCTTCATATAACTCATAAGAATCACTAATATTTTCTAAGTTATTTCCTTCTAAATCTGCTTCTCCTATTTCATCATTATATATAATATTTCCATTGTATTTTGAAGAATCTTTTAATGAATCATGTCTATTTAATATATCATTCTTCTCATTTTCTTCATTCTCATTAGTTTCTACTTCATCGTGTTCTTGTTCTTCATTATTATCAATTTCTTCATTCTCTTCAACTTCAACATAGCCATTTCTGGTTCTTCCGTTTTTATCTTCAAACATCTTATCTTCGTTCTCGTTCATATCTTTGTTAATTACTTCATTAATGTCAAATTCTCTTAATAATCTTTTTTCTTCATCTTTATTAAGATTGAAAAAATTTTCAGCATCAAAGATAGTAATATTATCTTTTTCTCCATTATAATCTATTACATTTTCATTTTCGTATTTTAAATTTTTATCATTTACTTCATCATCATTACCTTTGACAGAAATTTGATTGCTTAGTATTTTTTCATTTTCTTCTGTTTTTATACATTCTTTGGTAATATTATCTACATTATTTTCTTCTTCTTTTTGTTCTACATATGTCTTTTCATATTCCTCTTTATTCAACTCCTTTGTTTCCCCTTCTGGAAGTTCATTTACAATTTCATTTTCTTTTTTATCAAGTATTTCTTTTAGGTTATTTTTTTTTTCATTTATTTGTGCCGCTTGAATCTTCATTGCATGTAGTCCTTTATTTAATATATCTATTAATATAAATGGATGGGTATCCTGTATATTCAAAATGTTAAATTGAGGATTTTCTAAAGCAAAAACATTTAAGGGGTATCTATATGGTGACATATCTTTTTCTGGTATATCTCTCCATAATCCAGCACCCTGGCAACTGCAGTTTGATTGTATTAAAATAGGATTTTCATATTCCTTTTTAATAATATCATGTTTTTCATAAATTGGTTTAATATAGTTGACATTTTTTACATAAATTGCACCACCAAATTCGAACCAACCACCATATTTATAATGCATTGACACATCTTTTGTGCATTCATTATTAGGAATATTTTCACATTTTAAATGTTTAGTTATACCAGCAATTTCTCCTAATATATGAGGATTCAATATCTTGTAATTTTCTTCTTCTAATAAATAATTATAAAATTGAGAAACTGGATTATTATCGTCATTATCAGGATATAAGATGTTTTTTAATTCTTCTAAAATATTTTCAAGTTCCTCTAATATATTTTTTAAGAGTTTCTTAAAATAATCTCTTTTTGATTCTTTATAATTTTCACTTTTTAAAATTTCGCTTACAAAAAAATCTTTATTTAATAATATAAGGAAAATATATCCATTTACTTTATCTGAATTGTAATAATTAACGTTATTTTTATTAATTTCTCTCTTATAATCGTCTGCTGAAACCATAACCACATCTAAACCTCTTATTTTTTCTATATTTTTTTTTAGAGTTAAGTGCCAGTTTAATATTTCATCCTTAGTATATTTGGAATTTACATTTAATTCTTCATTATGAGTTTTATTATTTATTTTGTTATTTTTATTATAAGATAATATAAGATTAGCTGGATGTGGTAACTCATGAGGTAAAATATTCAAAAGATCCCATAAAAATAATTCTACTGAAAATCTCCAAGGTGTAAATTTATTTCTAGGAAAATCTCTCCATAATCCCATTGCATAACTACTATGATAACCATTATGTCTCTTATTTACCTGTTCTCTAAATTCATCCAATAGATAACTTGGCACTACTTCTATTTTTTCTCCATTATCTATTTCATTAAAGGAATAACCATTTACAACTAAGATTCCTAAAAAGTGAAACCATCCACCATATAGCTTATGCATACTTACTTTACTTTTTTTATATGGGTCAAGATATATTGTTTGTGTTGCTTTTGATAATTCTCCTAATAAATCAAAATCTAATAATTTTCTGGTTTCATCATAACCAAAAGGATCACTTCTAAATAAATATTGATATTGATAATTTTTAAAATAGAATTTACTCTTCAAATTTCGTATTATAGAATTCATTATAAAAGTAAATTTTTTTTTAATAGATACATATTTATTACTTGAATATATCAAATCTTGAAAAAAAAATTTATTTGCTGTTACAACTAAAATCATAGTATCATCAGGGAATCTCATATGAGCATATTTATTTGAATTTACTTGTTTATTATATGCACCAGCTGTTGTTGCAGTAAAATATAATCCATTTCTAAATGCAAAATCATTTTGAATTTCTTTTCTAAAATAATTAACATTATTAAGTTGTGGTGATGATTTTTTAAATATATTAAATAAATGATTCCATGGATTTTTAACATAAACTGTTGCTTGTGGTGCTGCATTCATATTTTTATCATTTTTTTCTATGTTATTATTAATTTCTATTTTTTCATTATCTTTATCACTTGTTTTTAAATCATTTTTAAGTTCTTGTTCTTCTTCTATTTCCTCTTCTCCTGCTACTTCTTTTTCTCCTTCTTCTTCTTCTTTTTCTTCTTCCCCTTCTTCTTCTTCACCTGCTTTTTCTCCTTCTTCTTCTTCTCCTTCTTCCCCTTCTTCTTCTTCTTCTTCTTCTTCATCGCTTTCTCCTTCTTCTTCTTCTCCTTCTTCCCCTTCTTCGTTTTCACCTTCTTCTTCTTCTCCCTCACCTTCATCTTCTTCACCTTTTCTTCTTTCTTCTACATCTTCACTAATATTTTTTTCTTCAACTTCTGTTTCTTTATTTAATATTTCTTCATTATTTTTTTTATTTTCTTCATCTTCCTGTTCTTTCTTTCTATTACTTTCTATATATACTATATTTACTCCATTATTTTTATCAAAATTTTCACTTAATGAACCATATGTTTTAATTACGTTATCTCCTGAATTATTTCTTAAATAGTCATGATTCTCTTCGTCCTCCTTATTCTTTTTTTCATTATTTTCAGAAACTTCATTTGTTGTTGGAATTATACTTTTATCAGAACCATATATACCTATTCCTTCATTTATTTTAGAATGATAATCATCTGGATGTATATGATTTATTTTTAATTCTACAGTGTCAAAATTTAAATATATAATAAAAAAGAACACATAAAAAAATAATAAAATATTATTTTGTAATCTCATTGTATAAGCATTTAAACCGTATAGAATTATCCTTCATAAAAAAAAAAAAAAATAAAATAAAATAAAATAAAATATATGAATATATATTATTCAATCAAATAAGTTAAAAGCTTAAAAAAAAAAAAATTCCTAAAAAATAATATAATCTTAAAAAGTAAAATTTTTAAAACGGAATTAAAAAAATATTTTATTGTTTTTCTTATATAAATTTTCTTTATTAAAAAAAAAAAACTATTAAGTAAATGTATTTATACAAAAATAAAAAACTATCTAAAAACCTAAAAAATTCTATTATTTAAAAGAAATTACTATAGTTCTTTTAATTATCCTATTCAATGAAAAAAAGTTTATATCCTATATATATGTACATTATATAAATATAAAGCATATGTACATATATTTTTAAAGAAATAATTAAGAAAAATTACTAAATATACTATTTTTAATTTATGCTAAATTTAAAATATTTTAAAAATCCTAATATTTTTCCTTTTTCATTAATTTAAATATTTTTTTTTATATATTTTTGAATAGCATATTATTATATATTTACATATTTTTTTTTACATTTTTTTTTTTTTTATTTTTTAAAACCGATAACCTAGCATGAGCACTTTTTTTTTTTTTTTTAAAAAACCGATATCCTAGCATGAGCACCATTATTTTTTTT